CTTTGGATACTTCAGCTGCAGTTTTCTTTATTTGTTCCCAGCCTAGAGGAAACTTATTTTCTTAGGCTGCGAGCTTGGATATTCCTGAAAATGAATTTAGGAGGAATGATTATGCTGGTGTTCTTTGTTTTGCATTTCCTCCCCACCTTCTACCAAGAGATTTTTATTTCTTTTTTTAAGTTGAGATTTAACACACCTAAGTGTATGCCTACGCTGGGGTTTTTTGAGCTAGGTTCAAACCGACTTGCTTGGGGATGAGAAACAGAATAGCAACAGTCATTCGGAGCAAGATGCAGGCTGGCAGGGAAGGTAATTGTCAGATGTATGTGAGAATGTGTTTTAGCAGTTACGCTTTTTAACTTCTTTGTCGTGACAAAAGCCTCCCTGTATTTCAAGGTCTTATATGTTTGCATTGAGCAAAAGAGAGGAACCTGGGGAGGCAGTTCAAATTAATTAGACATGTTAGAATTGTTTTCTCAGGGCTTAAAGTTGTTGCTTGAGAGATATTTGTGTTAGAAATTCCTTCCATGACAGGTACAAATAAACGTTTATTGTACATGATGGTAAAGAGAGATGCCCCTGCAAGCTCTGGTGTTTCATCTTGTACACGGAGCAAAGGCATGGGAGCCCAGTGTGCTGATTGTAACTCCTAGGTCTGAAAAATGTTCATTTGTTAATACCCTGCAACTACTGTCTTCTGGATGCAGGCTGTAGGGGAATCTCTACAGTGATGTAGGCATGTTTGCTGTTTTGCAGATGCAGAAAGTGGGGTGTGTTAAGTGACATGAGCTGGTGAAAGTGGAGTGAAATGCTGTCTTTTGTCTGTGTGCTCTGATTTCAAGATGTATCTTAATGCTGTGACTTACTAATAAGTATTATGAGACTTTGGTCTGCTCATGCATAGGGTTCTGAAGAGCTCTGGCAAACTTTGCTGCTCTGTTTTTAGGACGTTGCTGTGCCAGTAAAGCAACAGATGAAAATGACAACATCCTGTGACTTAAACAGACTGAACTTAATTTCCCTAAGCTTTCAAAGGAAACAGGCTTTGAGCTAAGGCACTCGTTTGCAGACTGAAGCAACAAGCATCCTGCTGATGCTTCTCACAACTTCGGAAGGGGTAGAGAGAATCGATCTCCCATTTGAGTTCCAGTGCAGTCTGCCACAACTCCAGTGTTGAGTTTGGCAGGTCTCAGTTGAAGATGTTGTAATGTCATTTACCAAGATTGAATTATGTAGCTCCAAATTTTAGCAGTGGTAAAGAAATGAAGCAAAAAAGGGAGATTTCTAACTCGATCTTGATCACGTAGCTGCTGATGATGCCATGGGGCTTTCATAGACCAATTCCTCCAAAAGCATCCAGGAGGCAATTCCAGTCCAGATCCTGCAAGGGATGGCTCTTTGTTCTAGGTGATGGACCTGAGCTTTGTTGTTTTGTGGGTGGATGCGTGATTGATTTTATTAGGACTTGGCTAAGAATTTCAGTTCATCTTGACCTGGTGAAGATTTTAGAGAGTTGGTCTTCAAACCAGGATTAGTTTGGGAAGTATGCCACCACTGCTGAACTCTCCTTGTGTCAGACTTGAGCTAATGCTGTGATAGCTTACGAGGCACACCAAGCAGGCAAGATGGTGTTTGTTTTATTCATATGATCTCTTTTCAGCTGGACTATTGGTATGTCACAGTAAATAAGTATCTGCACTAGAGTAACCACACTGCGGGTTTTGGTCTGTCTTATTTCAGCACATGATAACAAGTTCATCACCATGTACCAGTGACTCCTGAGATATTTTATAAACTGCTGCCTCTCAGGCCTTTTCAAATAGAGGTTTTGGTCTGTCTTATTTCAGCACGTGATAACAAGTTCATCACCATGCACCAGTGACTCCTGAGATATTTTACTAACTGCTGCCTCTCAGGCCTTTTCAAATAGGTTGCCACACCTTCAGGCAAACAACAAACCCATTCAAATGTATGTGTAAAAAAAGGAGAGGAAAAAAAGCAACAGCAGAATTTTTCACTCTTTACCTTACTGAAGCATCCGCTAGTGTTTATATAGCCTGCTTTGTTTTCATTTAGGGATGTTCAAAGGGGACTTCAGTGTTGTAGTGAAATGTGGGAGATGTGGATGAACAGCTGACTAGAAGTTCAAAAGCCGTTGTATAGAATGAAAGCTGGTTTATTTTCCACGTGCCAAGAATCAGTTTTGTTTTATTTAGATGAAACCAGATTATGGCATTGAAAACCCAAGTGTATTAACATTCTTACATAAAGCAAGTTGGGGAGTGATGTTACAGTTGAACTAATTGTTAATTACACAAATAGTCTTGCTGCATATTTTCTTAAGACTCCAGGAATGTTTTGTGATACAATAGATTTGGGGAGGTTTTATTCTGAGGGGAAAATAGAGCAGTAAATGAGTTAGGAATGAAGATACTAAACATGGGATTTTCTTCACTTGGGAGCATGCTTAAAATGGATTAAATATTTGCCTTCGAGCATTTAATCTTCATCTTTGAGGCACAGACATGCTACCTCTGTCTTTCTCCTTAGAGCTTGTTGTAAAATTCTATTCAAACCTTTGTGGTGCCTTACATAGTGGGTAATGCTATGGAGGATCAGCATCCCTCTTTTGTTGAGGTCCTGCTTTTGTCCTGTTGTTCACTTGACATAGCCAGAAAGAAGGGCTAATGGTTGCTGAATAGTAGCTTGTGATGAATTTGAGCATCGGGCTTTTCAAACTCTGCGCCTTTCACTGTAGTTGCTGATAATAATCTACTGCTTCTGTGTTGTTTAAAAAACAAAAGAAAATAAACAATAAAGCCTCTTGTTCTGCCCATATGGGAGAAAAAATGGAATCTCTGTTGGTTATATTATTATTGAAAAAAAAAAAGAAAATTGCATGGTTTTGTAAGGAAGCTGGGATTTTTCCATTTAGGTATTTCAAATTTAACTCCATGGCATGTTCAGACTGATTTATAAAAGGTCTGGGATTGAAAAAGAAAAGGCTTGGTGACTTTTGTAATCTGTGTCCTTTCTCTATTCTGCAAAGGTAAACATATAAAACAATTGAAATACAGTTAAAAGGAGGGGCGCTGGAAGCTGCCCTCTCCTTGTGTCCCAGAACAGAGTACCTGCATTTGCACTAATACAGATTATTCCCATGTGAACATCTTAAGGTCTGTCTAGGGACCTACCTTATCTGTTACTCTTCAATTCCAGGTAATTGATTATCCTGTCTGAGGTGATTTCAGGCTTTACTGAGTAGAGCATTTGAAGGGAATTGCTGCAAGAGTGGAAAGTGGTTAGGAGGCAGTACCCTGGGGAAACGGGGAATGTTGGTATGGGAGAGTTACTCTTAGGAGTAGGCATTAATGAGAGCAGCTCTGAAAACAAACAACCAAAGCCAAAACAAAACACGGTGCAAACATCTTGAGGAACAGCTGTAGAGTTTCTCTTTTTTTGAACTGGGCCCTGGGAGATTCCTTTTGGGAAGGAAAGTGTTAAGACTTGTTACCATATTTTTGTGAGAGTAGTCTTTCAAAGAGAACTGCAGGAGAATTCACATTTAGTATTTCTGCTTTGATTACCTATTAAAAATACGTATATTGTTCGGCAGACTTTTTGCACTCTCTTTTGGTGTGATATGATGTGTTAGATTTACAGTGATGGACCTGCATTCTCTGTTCCTCATTTCTCTTGCTATTAAATTCTGTATGCTGCTCTCTCCCAGAGATTTCACGGACATCCCCTTAAATATGCTATGGTTCTATATATCACATAGTCCTAGATGCATGACAAAGAAGACGCATGAACAAATCTCTACAGCGATCATACATTTACCACGGATTCTGCATTTGGTAGGCAAATCTGCATCTGCAGAGGATGCTGTAACAGATGATCTCCATCCACTGTACAGTATCAGGAGGTGATAGTTACTTAAACTAGGTTAAGTCAGTTGAGGTCTGTCCTTTTGAGCAGCGGAGTGGGAAAAGCACACCAGAGATGCTTTTATTAACTTTGTTTCAAAGACCCTGCAAAAGTAAATTATTGTTTTCAGTGCCCCTGATTCCACTTTGGTAGGACAATTTGTTGCTTGCCTGCCGGACACTGAGCCACATCGTTCCTCAGAAGTATTTTGCTACTAAGACTTAAACCACTGAAAGCCTTTTTCAGTACATTGAACAGTTTTTAGTGTCTTCCTTCAGTAAGAACGTGGGAATACCTGCAAGCTGTTCTTTAAAACTGTTGCCACAGGATGGGGCTGTTGCACTGCCCAAATGCGATCTGGCACTTGGAACTGCAACCAAGCACTGTTTTCAGTGCTAACCAAAACTACACTCCTGTCACTTTTCTTTATTATTCACCAGTCCGTGTAGCGTGGCCTCAGTTTATCCACTTTCAAGAGGTAAGAAATTTGGAGTAAGGTGGTGTTGGCTTGCTGAGTGTAGATCAACTCTGTTTCTTTTAGAGGCAGCTTTGCGCCATATGACAAGCCCAGGTAGTGAGGTAATAATCCATATAGAGGGGATTTGGTTCATGTATCGCAGAATATGTTAAATATTAAATTTGGGGGGGTTAAGCCTTTATTAAATCCATATTTGTGTTTTAGAAATGTGCCAAGAAGTGTTCTAATGAAGCAGCACCTGGGGGTTAATAAATGATATCATGAATCCATTCTGATTGCCAAGAAAGATTTTAATAAAGGAAGCCATGCTCAGGGTTGACTGTTTCATCCATGAGGAATAATTGTTTTGTTTCCATGTTTCTTTTATTGGTTGCTTAAAACAAGTTTGCTTTTCAGCATCAAGTCATTTATGATTGCCCTGCATATTTCTGTGTGGCATTTGCATAAAGAGCTAGCCCTCGGTAGGTCTGCCGATACAAATTGTAAGAGTATGAAAGGTGTTATTTTGATTGCATGAAGAGCTTCCATCTTTCACTGCCTTTCACATTCATCTCATCTTCCTCTGTTCCCTCTTCTCCTCCCCTCAAACATTCAGGGTGAAGTGAAGTCTGAAGAGGGGCCAGAATGGAATATACTGCGTGATGACTTCATGATGGGAGCATCTATGAAAGACTGGGACAAGGAAAGCGATGGAGAGGGCAATATTGAAGAAGGAGGTGGTCTGAAACAAGAAGATGACAGTGACTGAATGTAACTGAAAACCATTCAAGATAATGTTTTATCTTCTTAACTTTATTTGGATAAAAAGTCAGCATTCTGTGAATGTACAACACTTGGAAGATATCTCTTTTTTTTAAAAAAAGACTTGCACAACTTTAGTGTGTTTTCTTCTCCATGTCAAACTTTTATTTAGTATAGCTTCAATATTGCTATACTGAAATCCTGAAATATTTTCCAAAACATGTATAATTTTCAAGATATTTCCAAAACATTTTGTACAGTCAAAATAGTGGCACCTGCCCAATGAAAGAAAGATTTTGCCAAGGTCATTAAAAGTTTATACATTAGTCATGGCAATTGATGTATTAGTGTGCCTGCATTTCCAAATCAGTGTTGCAGTGTTGCACTTTGAAAAGCTGTTAACAATTCGCAACAGAAATGGCTTACAATAAACACAGAAATGCCATCACCTTGTAAAGTTATCGAACTCCTATAGAGTCTTTACTACTTTGACCAGAAAAGGTTTTGTAGATAATAAAGAAAAGTAACCATTAATATGATAGCTCTGGTCTTGGAGTATTAGTTTGATTGGAGTCAACTCTGGAAACATAATTGTAAAAAGAGAGACTTGACCCTACTGATTGTTTTGTTTTGTTTTTTTAATATATTCTATATATGTATGTTTTTTCCATTGGAAGTCTGAAGTTGTATAAGCTAAGAGACCAGTAAGAGGGGAAAGGACAGTCGTTGCTATTGTTTTTGTTGGAGGAGGGAGGGCTTTTCTGGCAATACAGCATAAAATTGCATTCAGCATTGCTTTTTGTACTTCTGGTGTTCTGGCCTTTTTCAGTAAGGAGCCGGAGCTCCAAGATGTATCCTGTGGGTTCAGTCAGCTATAATGCTAATTCCTCAGGTGTGTAAAGGGTTAAACAAAAGCCCTTCCTCTTAGGTTGTGTACTGTAACAGTACCAAATTCTGGAAGACATCTGTCAGCGTAATACTGTTGGCTTTGCTTAAGCTACAGCAGTTTCTCCTAATTAGTTGTTTGTTTGCGAAGATGCAGAAGCTGACATACATAATAAGAATATATTCTATCTAAGCATATGCATGCAGAAGGAAGTGTGTTGTGATTAAGGTGTTCTAAATGAGAGGCTGGGGTTGAATTCTGCTACCTTCAGTGTTCCAGACTGGCTGGCTGATGCTGTGTCCTTTAACTTTACTATCACTGTTTCCCCATTTGCTATGTGAAGAAAATGCCTTGGGGCCTATTAATTGATACTTAAAATACATAGTACTATTCTGTCTGTTTCTACAGATGTCTTATGTACAAACTTTTCTTTGTACCTGCTTATGTGCAAGATATCATTAGGAGCGACTTTCAGATTTTCAGTCTTCAGCATTGGAAATGTGTGGTAGCACAGTGGATTTAGATTTTCCTAACAAAGACATTGAGGAGGAGAGGAGGTTTGAACTTTGTGTATACTGCAGGATAAAAAATATACATACAAAATGGCAGAGAAACCCATCCTAACAACTGGCAAGGGTTGTGTTATCCCTAGCCTGTTCATCTGGTATATATTGTAGCATAATTCTTGGAGGAGAGCTCAAAGCTAACAGCAGAAATGTTTAGATTTTCAAGCTGTTTTGAGTGTTAAACATATTAGATATCTGAGGAGACATTAGTTTGTGGCCTGATATTTATTATCACAAATGAAGGCATACACCCAAAATACCAAGTGGCAAAACCACAGAAGTTTGACATATGGTTATCCTGGCTTCTGAAGGCTAGACATCTGTATAGCTGTTCAGTGAGTTGGCATCTCATTAGTGTAATACAAAAACATACTACAATGAATTTTGAGGCCACGAAGCAGCATAATAGTCTAATCTGACATTGCTTTCTTTCTACAGTTACTTTGTGTGGAAAAAGTACATCAGCACCCTTAAATCTACAGTCATTCTCTAGTTTGGTATCACTAGTCTCTGTATGAGATCAAACTTTTGGAAAATAATCTAGATTTTCTTAGGAACTATGATATCCGGAGGTGATTATTAAAAATTTCAAAATACTTTCAGAATACTTATAAAATACTTGGGTGTTTATGAATTTTGTGTGTGCATTTTTGAAGTCATGTTTTGATTAAAGCACTGAAGAGTCACGTATTTAAGAGAAGCGTGGAATATATTGATATTGCTAAAAATATCTTGAGCTTCCATTTCATTTAAAGGGAATAAGAGTACTTTTTCCCTGTAAGTGGAGAGCATTTCTTGCCTTTTAAGAAGCATAATACTCAGTTTTTTATGTATATTGAGTAGTTTTTAATTTTTATACTGTACCTTGCATTTGCCTTGTCCTTTGGTTGTGCCATATGCAGAGAAACTCCTAGAATAACTTAAATTGGTAACTGCCTCCAAAAGAGAAATAAGCGCAGGACTCTTATGGCAGGTAGGAGCGATATATTTTAATTTTAGGCATTCGGTGGGTGATTTATTTCACAAGTTTTGTTTTAATTGATTAGCAATTCAAAAGAAGAGCTAAACCCTATTTGGCCCAGATGCCTTCTAATCTCCTCTCTCAGCTGTGGGATCAGCTGCCCTAGCCACCTCCCTGCCCACTTTTCCAGTAATGTTCTTCCTTTTTGGTAGTTACCAAGAACAACCTTCAGCAGCTTTTCCCAGCCGTCGGAGTACTCGGTCTGTTTTGCCTGCTCCCCTGAATATTTCTGCTTAAGCAAAGCTGTGGTGCTGCCCTTCATTCCAGAGAGCATGAATCATCTCAACTTTGTATATTTCTGTACCTATCTATATAAAGCCAATAAGGATGGGGTGGTTCCAGTTTTGTTAGGCTTCAAGCCAACTACAGAGTATGTAGAGTTTAATATTCTATGGATTGCATGCAAAGCAACAAAGTTTTGTTTAATAAGAGAAGGCACAGGGTCAGCTCTTCCCCATGTCTCTTACCCTCTGGTCTAATTTCTCTTCACATTAATTGTGCTTTTTTTCAGCAGGGAAAGCATGGGGTGGGGGGGGGAAGAACCATCTTCTCCCTGCTTTTCTTCAGCCTGCTGTTAGGGAAACACTTCGGGAGTGGTGGTGGAATATCCTTGTGCCTGATGCTGCTTCACTACAGTGACTTCCCTGCTAAAACAGGGAGGAAAGAGCTCCCACTTCTGCAGCTGTGATGCTGGTTCTCCTGGGTTCACAAGTTGAGCAGAACAAAAGAGCTGGAAGCTGCTTGCTAGTGGAGATAGGGCTTTTTTGTGTGTCTTTTGTTTTAAAGAGAGAAATTAATTGTTTGGAGGCCGTAAAAGTGCTTTGACTATCTGATGCTTCCAGAAGAAGGTGGTCTGTAAAGCCACATCTGTTCAGAGCTGGCTCAGTAGCTGTCTCCAGGGAGGACAGCAGAAGTCATCTGGCACAAAACACTCTGCACAACTTAAAATGGCAAACTCCTCATTCTTATGAAACGAGTCCTGGCATAGTTAATATCCACACAGAGCAGTCATCAATGTCGTTCACTTCCAAAGCCTTCAAATTGCTCAATGATTTCTTCAAGACTTGCTGAGGTAAGGAATAAGAGGGCCAGGAGAAGACTTGAAGTAGTGAAGACTCTTAGAATCTTGTTAAGTAGATAGGATCCCAGTGCTAAATAAGATGTTAAACTTAGACTCTAGGACCTAAGTGGCAGACAGGGGAGACTGGACAAGTTCTTGGTTAACAGATGATGGAAGGCTGTCGATTTCATTTACTGCTGTTCTAAAGCAGTGGCTTTTAACCTCTTGTCAGTATGTAAACCTCAAAGGTTTCATCTCTGTAGGTGATTTACCAGATAAGGGCTTTTCCTTAATCATTCTTTTTCAGACTGATAGGGATGGCTGATATTTCTTAGACAAAGCAGTTTGTTTTCAAATGCGTCTTTTTAATTGCTTTTCTGTCTTAAGGGACATGTTGAAATAAAACTCCAGTCCAACTAAATAACTTCCACACCAAAGATGGTTGTGTTTTTGTAATGCTTCATCCTCTGGAATGATTTCTTTTTCTTTAAATCCATGTGTTTTAATCTGTTGGATATCAAATTGTAAAATTAATTAGGACACTTCCGTCATGCCTTCAGATGTGACCTCATGAGCACAAATGGTTTCCAAGAGGCACTTTGGAAGGTGATTTTAGGAACACTCATAAAAAGCATTATTTCTTCACAGTGCCTCAGTCATTTCAATAGCCCATTCTCTCGTGCCAGTAAGTGAACTTTTTGAGCATTATTTTGCAACATTTTCTCAGTGTTTCTAAATTCGGTTTGCAGTATATGTGGTGGTAATTGGGAGCTGCTAACCAGGATCAGACTTGCATTGAGGTCTGACGCCACTAGGATTTCTTACAGACATAAGTGTTCTCAGAAGTAGCTAAGTGATTAGTTCACTTAAGAGATACACTGGTTACACTTCTTATCAGAAACTTAATGTGTAGTTTAGAAATGGTTAAATACACAACCTGCTGATATTATGTACTAATCAGGTCTTTAAATCATGTCTATTGTAGGTATGTGGGATCACAAGTAGAAGGTAAGGAGGGTTGTTTGCCATAGTTTGAAGTACTTAAAGATTCCACTAGCCCTTTCTGAGCCCTTTATAAACTGTTATGAATGTAATCTTGGAGATTTGTGACTGAGAGCCTGTGGCTATTCAATCACTTTGTTGCTTTTAACTTTGTTTGTCTATCCCAGTAAAGGAGGACATTCCCATTCTTGTTGAGAACGGAAAATACATACAAGTGTTCCTTGATCCAAGTGAAAAGCTTTTTTGATTATGTGGATGTTTGCATTGACTTTCAGGTTGTGTACAGTTTATCTGAAGAGGATTTTCTTTGTTTTTCAAGTGATCCATAAATTGCAAAGTTTGTGGGCAATGATGTATTGGAAAAGTAGGAAGTTGTGGATAGAAATATAGGTATCAGCAGTCCTAGGCTTCACTCCCAGCTCTGCCTTTGGCAGAGATTTCTAAGAGTATGCTTTTGAAGCAGCCTTATACTTAGGGTACCCTGAGTCCAGGGACAAAGACCGCTCTGCATCAGTTTCAGGAAGGGTGCTTGAAGTCAGGCAGCTGAATGAAAACTGTTACTGTTACTACAGGGCTGAGAACCTGAGCTTACTGCTTCTTGTAATTGAGAGTTTGACATACTTGCCTGTAACATCCATCCAGCCACCACCCCGCAGTGCTCCTGAGAGATGAAGGGCGATCAAAACCGCATTGTGAGCCTTTGCACCATTGTGTATGTCTGCTTCCGCACTTAGAATCCCAGTGAGTTTCAAAACAGCTTAAGGTTCATAAGTAAAGGATGTCGCACAACTACATGTTGGTAACAATAGTGTCTTTTTGTATACCGTTGGTTTTTAGGTGAGTGAAATACTTGACAGTACCTGCTGAAATCTTACGTGCTGATGAAAGAAATACACTTTTTTTAATTAAGAAAATGCTTCATAAAATTCTCGAGTGGATGTCACTTCATGATATAAGGAAAAGACTATGAAGATTTTTCAGAACCT